CAACATTACTTAGAAAAACGAAGAAAGAGAAAACAACGAACGGAATTTTCGGCAACCGACCCGGCAACGAAATAAGGACAATGAATGGAAACTCGGTACTTGGAATGTCAGAACCTTAAATGAACCTGGACGAGCGGGCCTTTTGGCTCGTGAACTGCAAAAAGTGAATGTGAGCGTAGCTGCTATTCAGGAAGTACGGTGGCCTAGATCCGGAGAACGTGAATTCCGGGCGGTGGATCCCATCGCCAACACTTCCTTCAAGTATCATATCTATCACAGCGGTGGCGATAGGGCAGAACATGGAGTAGGGTTCATAGTGATCGGGAAGCAGATGAAGCGTGTTATGCGGTGGAGACCGGTAAGCGACCGCATCTGTGTATTACGGATTCGGGGCAAATTCTTCAACTATAGCCTGATCAACATCTATGCGCCAACCAACGATAAATCCGATGACGTGAAGGACGCGTTTTATGACAGTCTCGATAAAACTTATGATGAGTGCCCAAAACACGACGTGAAGATTGTAATCGGAGATGCAAATGCGCAGGTCGGGAGGGAAGATTTCTTTCGTCCAATCATTGGTACAGAGAGCCTACATACAGTAACCAATGATAACGGCCTGAAACTGATAAACTTCGCCGCTGCTAGAGGTATGGCCATCAGTAGCACCTACTTTGCACGCAAGAATATCCGAAAGCACACCTGGAGACACCCAAATGGCGAAACTTGCACCCAGATCGATCACCTGTTGGTGGATGGCCGGCACTTCTCAGATGTCATTGATGTAAGGACTTTTAGGGGGCCTAACATTGACTCAGATCATTATCTTGTTGTCTGCAAAATTCGGGCGCGTCTATCGACCGTTACGAATTCAACGAACCGGAGATCGATGCGTTTCAATATCCATCGCTTGTCAGTAGAAGGTGTTGCTGCAGAGTACCGCCAGAAGCTTGATGAGCGGGTTAGCGAAATCAACGTGAACGAGGACCTCAACAATCTGTGGAACACAATCCACGGAGCGGTGAACACAACAGCACAAGAAGTGATAGGTACAGCTCAAAGATGACCACGTAATGGCTGGTTTGATGAGGAGTGCCAGAGGTTGACGGATGAGAAGAACGTTGCCCGAAGCCGGATGTTAGTGTCTGGTACCCGGCTGAACAGAGAGCGGTACAAGGTAGCAAGGGCAGCTGAGAAACGAACCCACCGCAGAAAGAAAAGGCAATACGAAGAACGCGTGATTGCTGAGGCGCAAGAAAGTATGGAACAGAACGATATGCGAAGGTTCTACGCGACTGTCAATGGTGTGCGGAGTAAAACAGCGCCATCTCCCGCCATGTGCAATGACCTTGAGGGGAATTTGCTGACAGATAAAACAATGGTGGCTGCCAGGTGGAAAGAACATTTTGAGACATTGTTGAATGGAGAGAGTGAGGGAGTATCGAGGAACAGAGTAAACATCGCAGACGACGATCAAGCTGTGGAGCCTCCAACGCTAGACGAGGTTAAAAAGGCAATACGTGAGCTGAAAAACAATAAGGCTGCTGGGAAGGACGAGCTCCCGGCCGAACTTTTCAAACACGGAAGTGAGCAGCTGCATCAAGCAATCCACCGTATTCTAACGAAGATACGGGAGGACGAAGAACTGCCTGCTAGCTGGTTCGATGGCCTCATTTGCCCATTATTCAAAAAAGGGCACAGACTCGAGTGCGCCAATTATCGAGGAATAACTCTTCTGAATTCGGCGTACAAAATACTGTCACGCGTTCTGTTTAACAGATTGAGACCGCTTGAGGAGTCCTTCGTCGGTGAATACCAGGCTGGTTTTCGTGAGGGCCGATCAACGACGGATCAAATGTTTACCCTGCGTCAAATCCTTGATAAATTCCGGGAGTACAACTTGCAGACTCCCCATCTGTTTATTGATTTCAAAGCAGCATACGATTCAGTGAAGAGAAATGAGCTTTGGCAGATTATGCTAGAACATGGTTTTCCGGCGAAACTAATTAGACTGATTCGCGCAACGCTAGATAGATCGAAATCAAGTGTAAGGGTTGCATATGAGATTTCGACCTCGTTCGTGACCTTAGATGGATTGAAGCAGGGTGATGCACTTTCAAACTTACTGTTCAACATTGCTCTTGAAGGAGCGATTAGGAGAGCTGGTGTGCAGAGGAACGGTACCATCATCACACGATCGTACATGCTCCTTGCGGACGACATCGATATCATCGGAATTGACCGTAGAGCAGTGGAAGAGGCGTTTGTGCCTTTTAAGAGGGAGACGGCGAGGATTGGGCTCACGATAAGTTCTACCAAAACGAAGTACATGGTAGCCGGTAGACAGCGTGGGAGCAATAGTGGTGTTGGTAGTGTAGTGTTGTTAGATGGTGAACAATTTGAGGTAGTGGAAGAATTTGTGTATCTTGGAACACTAGTGACATGTGATAATGATGTTACCCGCGAGGTGAAGAGACGTATTGCAGCTGCAAACAGGGCCTTTTACGGATTACGTAGCCAGCTGAAGTCCCGTAGCCTGCAAACGAAAACGAAATTCGCTCTGTATAAGACGCTGATACTTCCGGTAGCCCTCTACGGCCACGAATCGTGGACGTTAAAAGAGTCTGACCGGAGAGCATTTGGTATCTTCGAGCGTAAGGTGCTGCGAACAATACTCGGCGGTAAACAGGAGAATGGCATCTGGCGGCGTCGCATGAATCACGAGTTGTACCAAGTGTATAACGGTACGGATATAGTGAAGCTTATAAAACACGGCAGACTACGGTGGGCTGGGCATGTAGTGCGGATGCCGGAAGAACGACAAGCAAATATTATATTCAGCAGAGAACCCGGTAGAGGTCGTCGACTCCGGGGTAGACCTCAGACACGTTGGTTATTTGCAGTTGAGGAGGACATCAGGTCGCTAAACGTTCATGGCGACTGGAAGCGATTGGCTCAGGACCGAGTCCAATGGAGAAGAGTACTTCGTTCGGCGTTGAATCAACCTGGCGATTCGTAGCCCATCAAGTATCAAGTAAGTAATAGTTTGAGGTTCACTCATTTTTTTTCTACATTCATCGAACAAAGTAACCCCGAATCAAAATACTGAAGTACGGTCACAAAACTAAAAAAATAGTGCAAATGCTTTAATTTTTGTTAAACATATTACCACAGAATATTACTGACGAATTAACTCTTGGATCCTCAGTACTTGTTTTAAAAATATAAAATTTGAAAAACCGTCATTGCTGTAAAAAATATTTAGAATATACTTTAAAAAACTATCAATGTTACACCGTTTTACGGTACTAATTTTGTTCGAGCCTCGACGTCTGTTCTCTATGGTATGAACGCGTTCAAGCACATCACTGCTCCCAACCAATTTTCAGCTTGACCGTTCAGCCCAACTAACTAAGTGGGCTATGGGTTTAGCCCAACGAGTGATAGTTGACTGCATTTCGTGTGGTGTATTTAGGCTCTGTAAGGTTTTTTGGACACATATCTTTGAATAACATCTTCTTTGAGTCTATGTTGATCCTTTAAATATCTAATCTTCAGACTAATTTGGATGTCCTGGATCAAACCAATTTTTGTTTTTAAATATTTGATTGTTTTTGTAGTATTAAAGGTGAATTCTATCTAAAAATCTCGCTGATAAAGATATTAAAAAAATTAAACTAAAGCTGAATTCAACTAAAAAGCGTAAAACAAATCCTTAAAATAATCCTTGAACAATGGGACTGAAAAGGTTAAGTTTAAGGTGTTTTACCCAAAATAATTTAAAATTTTTACCGTGTATATTTTTCTTGAAAAGAAATAATATTTTCCTACAACTTTGTCTCAGGCGTCAAAAATGTCCAATCCGCCATTGTAAAGTTTTTTGCGAGGTTCAAAATGGCCGAATTATAGCAAAAATGTGACTGATTAACCTTAATAAATAATTATGCAAATATTCATACATATCGGAGAAGGTCGCATCAGAACGGTTCGACATTTTCCGCGTGAACACAATTTCAGGGACTCAGTTTCCGGTCATGTGCGGTGTAAAAACAATTCACACATCGAAATATGTCTTTCATGGTCACTTTTCATGTGCTTCCGCAACTTCTGAAGGCCCTTAAATCGTGAAATCGTGAAAAATTTCCATACTCGGCGACTGCTTGCCTTTCCCTTGACCTACTTGCTTTCGGTTCGGGGTGTTCTTGATCTATTACCGATATCCAATGTGATCAAATACATTTGAGCAGGCCACGTTTAGATGGAACAGGAGAAGCTTAGCTGTGAACGATAATTGCTTCCATACATTGCCTATCAGATTTTCTTTGGTACAACTGAGGATTGTAGCAGATTCCTTGTGACCTCATTTATTCAAGCCCATATCTTAACAGTTTTGATCGATAAAACCCTGCATAGGCGACGATTGTAGCATACTCGAGAAATCGTACCAAACGGCAAGTTTAAGAAAATTATTGTCATTTAAAAAAAAACACGTACTTCTTCAAACGAAGCTGATCAAATGACCGGATTTGCTTTGTTACCGCTCAATAAATCAGAGCACGACAAATAACAGCCCCAACCGGAACCCCTTGGCATTAAAACCCACTCACGAAAGGTCACTACCAACTTCCCCAAAAGGAAATTAAAAAGTTTACTCTGGCCGCAAAGAAAAAAACGGGCAATCCCGTGAGACTTTACTGATTTTCCCATCATCATACCCTGGAAAATAAATCTCCCCTAACAAGCTTCACGCGCTACTGCAAAACTAAAACCAGCCTCAACAGTGTGGTGCAACCCAAAAAACAAGCAAAGGGACAAAAGAAAGCAACGAAAGCATCTGCACGCGCTCCTCTTCCTTTCATTCCTTTGCCTCCCACTCACACCACCTTCATCATAATCATCATCATCATCATCATCATCCTCAACCCCAACTATAGGTCCAGAGGATAAACCAGGCAAACAGCATGGATGCTAGCAGCAGAACCAGAAACAGATGTAAAAACCTTTGCGAGCGGAGATTCCGTTCCAGCTCGTAGAACGGCATGTCCCACGGGGAGACGTCCTCGAACTCGTTCACCGAGGCCGGGCTTTTGTGTTTTGCGTGAATGAAAATAGATGCAAATTTTCGATAATTTTGATGTGGTTGCAACACGTGGAAACGAGCTTACCTTTGGATCAGCTCCTTGGTTAGCTCGTGATCACAGTCCCCAGAACTGCGGAACGAGCTGTACTTGGTGTACTCGCCACCGGGGACCGTTCCCAGCAGTCCCGGCACCAGCACGAAGCCCGGAGGTCGTTTGTAGTCGCTTGGGAGCTTCTCTATGGCATCCAGAGGGATTCCGGTCTTGGTGGCGCGAAGATTTTTGTGAATCTCCTGGTTCAACATGTGGACGTTCTGCGAGAACGTTACCAGGTCAACCTGCTGGTCCCTGGCCGAGAGGGGTTTGCTGGGTTGTGGTGCGGGTCCCTTCTTTCGGCTGCCGTCTTTGTTGACATTGTTGCTGTTGTTCTTGCTCTTGTGAGTTCGGTAGTACCGCTGGATGATGCGGGCTGCATCCTCCTTGGAGAAGCCCTCCTTCTGCATCATGCGCTGAGCTTCAACGCGATTCTTGGCGATGCCTAGGATGTACTTGGTCTTGGCTTCCAGCTCCGGAGTAAGCTTCATCTTGCGGATCGTGTACCCACGGTAGTAGCTCTGGATGACGATCGCTGCCTTTTCGTTTTCTTTGTTGTTCACGTCAACGGCATGCTTCTCGGATGGCTTGATAAGTTCACTGTTGGACATCTGGTGGATCAGCTTAGCCCTGGCGAATGCCTGTTTGGCTTTGTTTTGTTCTGCAAGGAGGGGGATATGGTTGGTGCCGTGTTCCAGGCGGGTACGGAAAACCTTACCATTGTTTTTCTTTTCCCGAGCCTGTCGCTCCTTCTCCAGCCGTTCTCGCTCTTTATCGACCCGTTCTCGCTCTTTTTCGAGCCGCTCTCGCTCGATGCGATCCTTTTCCTGCTTCTCGCGAAGCAATTTGTTCATTCGTCGCCGGGTCAACCAACCTCGAACGTGTTTCTGCAAGGTGACAGCACTGAGTGCCACCCGTTGTGCTGCTCGCACTTTTTCTCTCTTGATGAATGCCTTGGCCAACCAACGGCGGACGCAGGCCTGAACCAGAATGATCTTGCGGACCTGAAAACAAAAGTTTTAGTCATCGTTCCTTTCGGAAGGCAAATGCTACTTACGTGCTCCTCGTACAGCTTGGACAGATATTCGAAGTGGTAGTATTTGAGGAACACCTTGGACTTTCCGAGAGCCCATCCGTCCATTTTTAGACGCACTAAAAGTAAACGACACGATTCTCGGCTTGCGACGACACGTTCCTCGAATCCGTAGCCGAGGAAGTAGTATCTGGAAATGCCGAAAGTCATGGAATCAAAGTTTTCCTATAACATAGATGTTGAACAAACCTCTTCAAGAACTCGGCGAACGCCAACCGGTGGCTGAATCCATGCTGACGGATCCGAATGGTTTCCAGCACGCCAGTGTAGCGTAGCTGCTTCAGGACCTTGGTCTGATCGAAGTTCTTCGCAGCCTTCATGTCGTTCGGTTTGATGCACCGGATGAACTGCGGTGTACCGGTGACCATCTTCTGCAGCAGATCCATCAGCGAATACCGGAAGTAGGTGGCCACTGTTTGCTGGGCCCTCGATTGCGATGCCAGTCCGCGGGAGTTGAACTTTTCCTGCAGATACAAAACAAAAATCGTTTACTCCAAACTCGTAATCGTTCGCAGCGATCACGCACCTTCGTATCAACCTTGATGAAGTTGGACACATTCTGGCGCGATCCGGTGTCCTGGATGGCCGAGTACAGGTTGCCGGTTTTGGTGATGGGACACTGGAACAGGAACCGGACCATATCGAATTGGCTTTGGCGAATCAGCTGGATGATCTCGGCCGGCAGGAAGTTGCGGTTCTTCTCCAGGAATCCGTCCGCCTGGTAGACGACCCGGCCGGCAAAGTGGTGGATCGCGAAGCACACCGCGTCCGATTTGGGCCGTTGGTAGAACTTGGATTTGATGTTGTTGTGGAATTTCTCTGTTGGATGGTGGGAGGTAGGTTAGTGGAGCTGATTGGAAAACGGGGAGACTAGAACTTACCAATTAGGGACCGGTCGTTGGATCGAGGAAACCGGGACTCTTCATCAAGCAATGCTAGCAATCCAAGCGGTCGGCTTAGGAGCATATCCAGCACCGGGCGGTTGTCGGCGAACTCTACTAGATCCACGGGAATTCCTTCGGCCATGTACTCCTGAAATATTAGGTGGATTTGTTGAATTAGTCACAAACTATAGGCAGGGCCGATAGCGGGTTACTTTTTATGTCTCATAAAAAGGTGAATTTGAAGACATTTGAAAAACTCTCCACAGACAGAGATTCTTTACTCGCAGACATTTTGACACTACTTTATGTTTTATGAAGATGTTTAAAGACTTGATAAAACTGAAGAAGACTTTCGAAGGATTTTTCATATTTGTGATAATTTTTGCTATTGAAATAAATATGTTGACCTTATATTTTAAACTGTGTCTTGTAAATTTTGATTTGTTTATCGAATCATACATAATAATAAGCTGGAGATCATTTAAATACCTCATGATCATCGTGCCCTTCAGGGAGAATAACTGAGGGACGCCATTTGAATCTTTGAACAATTGAAAAATCTCACAATACGACCTGATCTGCCTATAGCCTTGATTGATTTCTTGATAACTTGATTGGAAGGTAAAAAAAAACTTCATTTCATAAAAGAAGAGCACTGAAATCCTTTTATTGCGTCAATTCCTTTGAGATGGTCCCTGAAAATTGCACCACAAAGGTGCTTGAAGGGACATACTTCAATAAAAAAATTTGGTTGCAACACAGTGCAGTTTTGCGCAACAGTGGTGCATACAAAAAATTTCTGGTGTAATTTTTAATTCCAAGAAGGTTTATGGAGGGTTTAAAGAAAAGGGTAAATTTAAGGTTGAAAAAATGCACCATCGTGGTAGATCAAAGAAAAAACTTTATATTGAATATTTCTGGTGTAAGAAGGTGCATGGAGGGATTAATCAAAATGAATATTGGAAAAATTGAATCACGCTAAAAATTTGGAGGTGCACATTTATGTGAAAATGTCTGGTGGAATGTTCGCTATACTTTGGTGAATGTAGAAGCATGGTTTATTCATTTTGCAAGGTTCATTGGATATTTATGGTGGAAAATTTGCAGCATTCTGGTGCACGAAGAGGCAAAGCCTGAAAATTGCACCACATAGGTGCATTGTGAAACAAACTTCACTGACAATTTTCAGTGCACCGTTTTGGTGAATGGAGGAGCATGCATCGCTCTGATAAATGAAATGAATGGAAAATTTCTGGCAAAAAACTTGCACTGGTTTGGTAAATGAAGGCACAAGCTTTATTTAAAATTAAGCTATATTGAAAAATTCTGGTGAAAAATCTGCACCGTTCTGGTGAACGAATGAGCAAGCTTTTTGGGAAAAATTTGGTCTTAAATTTGCATCCTTGTGCTGAATAGAGAAACAAACTTTAAAATAATTTCTGGTGTAAAATTAGCACCAATTTGATGATTGGAGGGTGCTGTTTTACTGAAATTTTATGATGAAAAATATAAAATTAAGGGCAAGCTTTATTTGATGGAAAACCTGCAAGATTTTGATGATATTCTCCGCCAGCTATATTGAAAATTTCTGGTGGAAATGGAAAAAGGAAATCTGCACCAATCAGAAGATTGGAGAAGCAATTTTTTTTGAATATTAACGTTGGTAAATTTGCATCGTTCTGATCAATTGAAATTTTCTGGTGGCAAGTTTGTATTGAAAATTTCTGGTGTAAGATTTGCAACAATCTGCTGCATGGATAGGCCTGATGTAAAAATTGCAGAGTTCTGGTGAATGGAGGGGCAAGCTTTATTGAACATTCATGGTAGAAAATCAACAACGATTTGGTGAATGGGCGGCCAACTTAAACTTGATTTCCGAGAAGAACCTCAAGGGTATTTCTGAGGACAGTTCTAAAAGAAAAGATTTCTGGGGATGATTCTAGTGAATCCTGCAGATAGTTCCAAGATAATTTCGAACAGATTTCTGAGAGAATCAAATTTTGAATGAAATTCCAAAGGGATGTTGAGAAAAATTTCAATGGAGTTCTGAGGATAATTCTGGGAAGACTTTCTGGAGAATGCAGAGGAAATTCTTCTGAAACTTTAAGGGAATTTCAGTTCCAAGGTGTTCTGAGAAGAAAAAAAGTTCTAAAATACTCCGATTCTTATCTCAAAGATATTGAATTCTTATGACAGTTCCAAAATATTTCTGGGGAGAATTCAAAGAAAATTCTGCAGATAATTTTTAGTGCATTTTGCAGATAGCTCCAAGACAATTTCGAAAAGAATATCGAGAAAATCCAATTTTGAGTGTAATTTCTAAGGGATTTAGATCAGCTATGGCAGATTATGCACGAGTATGGACTTCCGAATAAACTGACGCGATTGGTCAAGGCGACGATGGATCGAGTGATGTGCGTTGTTCGAGTATCGGGGACACTGTCGAGTCTCTTTGAATCTCGAAGGGGGTTACGGCAGGGTGATGGGCTTTCGTGTCTACTGTTCAACATCGCGTTAGAAGGTGTGATCAGAAGAGCTGGGATAGACACGAGTGGCACGATATTCAGGAAGTCCATCCAGCTCCTTGGCTTCGCCGATGACATCGACATCATGGCACGGAACTTTGAGACGATGGCGGAAACGTACATCAGACTGAAAGCTGAAGCTAGACAGATTGGACTTGCTATCAACGCATTAAAGACAAAATACATGAAAGGAAGAGGTTCTAGGGAAGACAATGTTAGCCTCCCACCCCGAGTTCAGATTGACGGTGATGAAATCGAGGTGGTCGATGAGTTCGTGTATTTGGGCTCACTGGTGACCGCCAAAAATGATACCAGCAGATAAATTCAAAGACGCATTATGGCAGGGAATCGTGCCTACTTTGGACTCCGGAGGACGCTCCAGTCGAATAAAATTCGCCGCCGCACGAAGTAGACTGTCTACAAGACGCTGATTAGATCGGTGGTCCTTTACGGTCACGAGACCTGGACTATGCTCGTGGAGGACCAACGCGCCCTTGGTGTTTTCGAACAGTGTTGCGTACCATCTACGGTGGAGTGCAGATGGATGACGGAACGTGGAGGAGGCGAATGAACCACGAATTGCACCAGCTGCTGGGAGAACCATCCATCGTCCACATTGCAAAAATTGGGCGACTACGGTGGGCTGGGCACGTCGTAAGAATGCCGCACGACGACCCAGAGAAAATGGAATAGAGAAAGCGACCCAACAGGAACAAGAAGAAGAGGCGCGCAGCGGGCTAGGTGGATCGACCAAGTAGAAGGTGACCTGCGGACCCTTCGCAGACTACGAGGCTGGCGAACTGTGGCCATGGATCGAGTAGAGTGGAGACGACTTCTTCGGACAGCAGAGGACAACAAGGCCTTAGCCTGATTGGTAAGGTAAGTTCTAAGGGATTTTAAGCAAAATTTCAAGTGAATTCCGAGGATAATTTCTAGCTCATTCAATTCCAATGTGTTCTGAGAAAAAATCATGAAGAGTTCTAAATTTAATTCCAGTGGACTTCTGAGAAGAATTTTAAAAGAGTTATTAGGAGAGTTCTAAAAAAATCCGATAAGAACCTCATGGATATTGAATTCTGAGGACAGTTATAAAGGATTTCTGGGAAGTATTCCAAGAAAGTTCTGCGTGTAATTTCTAGTGAATCCGGCAGATAGTTCCTAGATAATTCCGAAAAGAATACCGGGAAAATTAAATTTTGAGTGAAATTCCAAAGGGATTTTGAGGAAAATTTCAAGGGAGTACCGATAATTTCTAGCTCATTACAGGAACATTTTTTTAGGAAATTCTTCTGAAACTCTAAAGGGATTTCAGTTCCAAGTAAAAGCCTAGAAGAGTTCTAAAAATAGTTCCAGAGGACTTCTGAAAAGAATTTCAAAAGAGCTCATAGAGTTCTAAAAATTTCTAAAAGAACCTCAAGGAATTCTGAGAATGGACTTTTTCGCAACTGTACAAAGTTTAAAGACAGTTTTTGGATTCCCCTTATTGAAAAGTGGGTATTAGTTTGCCATTAAACCTTGATCTATTGTTATCTTACTAAAAATTCGCTTAAGAATCTTCTCTGAAAATTTCAAGTCATTTTTTACCGTGGTTAAAAAGTTACAGCTGTTTATGTTCGTTGTAATAAATTTTGGTTTGTCTTTTATATCATCTTTAAAACATGTTGAATGTTCGCAACATTTTCTGTCACCCCGACTGACGGTACATCATCGTCGATGCGATTAAATTGCCAATTTCCGCAGTTTGCATTGAAGAAGATGAACCACCACCGGAGCAAAAAATAAATAAAATCAGCTAAATTAAACAGTAGGGAAACAGTGGTGGGTGGACAGCACCATATCCCACACTCTTTGGAGTACTGGACATCCCCAGATTAAATGCACCATAGAAAAAATTGCCCCTCCTTAACAAGATTCCTGTGCACGCTAGTGATTGAAATCCTCGATCATCGGGATATACGAACTGATCCAACCTGCCATCTTGGAAGAATATAAGAGTAGGCCATTTGATCTATTGGCAAGTTTAAAAACATAGGAATGGACTTTATCAACCGCATTTCCTTTTCCCAAGTCCTTTTCCTCTCCTTCCCTTCCCTTCTTCTCTTTTCAGAAAGCGAGTAATGGCGCTATAACCATATGCCATATAGGGCTAGGACAAGAGTTAGTGCTCAGGTCCCAACCGCTAGAAGAAAATGGTAGCGAGCAAGGGCGCTATAACCTAGGCGAATACTGCATTCCCTCCGTATAGGTTACGTCCGCACACTGCTCTCTGTTGTCCTTCGACTGAGGTCGTCTGGATCTATTGAGGGATGGCAGTGGGTGGGCGGTGCCGTCCACGCTTGTACGGAGGGAGGACTGTACGCTCGAACTTACCTTACCTTACCAATCAGGCTAAGGCCTTGTTGTCCTCTGCTGTCCGAAGAAGTCGTCTCCACTCTACTCGATCCATGGCCACAGTTCGCCAGCCTCGTAGTCTGCGAAGGGTCCGCAGGTCACCTTCTACTTGGTCGATCCACCTTGCCCGCTGCGCGCCTCTTCTTCTTGTTCCTGTTGGGTCGCTTTCTAGAACCATTTTCACTGGGTCGTCGTGCGGCATTCTTACGACGTGCCCAGCCCACCGTAGTCG